GGGGGGGGGAAGGTGCAGGTGTCCCTGTTGTTGGGATTGGGGCCGGCCCCTCAGACCTCTCTACTAGATCCCTACTCCATGATGGTATGTTGCATTCACATCTTGGAGCACTGGCTTGAAGTCTGGTCCCTCTTTACCTGTGGAGATATAAACAATACCCTCCTTGGGTGGGTTAGAGTCCTGTTCCCCCACTACCCATGTCTCTTTTTTTTCTCCTTTTTTCCCCCCTCCTTTATAGTTGGCTGCCATATGTATCTCTGGATTTGGCCTGGCCCCTACCATACTACCTGTTCCTCAGCCAGGAATGTATGTATACAGTTGCTTTTTCCCTATGCCCCTTTTGCATTTTTTTTAAACTTACCTTTGCAGAGTCATGTTGCGCTTGTCCTTTTGCACTTAGCTTACTTAACTTAGCGTAATTTCCTCCAGTTCTTCCTATGTGATGATGTGCTTCATAAGTTCATCACTGCTTTTTAGTAATACATAGTACTCCATTGTATGTATATACCACAGTTTTTAAATCCATTCATCTGCTGATGGAAATTTGGGTTGTTTCCGTCTCCTTGCAATTGTGAACTCTGCCGCGATGAACATTGGAGCACAGATGTCTGGCTGTGGTTTGTTTCTTGCCTCTTCTGGGTATAGGTCCAGTAGGGGACCCTTGCACTGTATTTTGTCCACCACCTTAGCCCAAAAGCTTATAAGGTTTTTCCTATTTTTACATCATTGAATAGCAAGGAAGGAAGAGCAGTATTTTGTTATACATAAAAATTAGATGAAATGTAAATATCAATGTCCATAAATAAAGTTGTATTGGAAAACTGCCAGGCTCACCTTTTCTCTGTACTGTCTGCATCTACTTTCTTATGCCAACAGCAGAATTTAATACCTTCTTCAATAATGACCATATGACTTGTGAGGCCTAAATCATTTATTATCATAACCTTTATAGAAAAAACATGTCCATTCCTTCTCTAGATATGAATTGATCTACATATTCTTTAAAGGATTAATAAAAAAACTCTCTTTCACAGAAAAACACTCACGTACGTTATCACATCATCAAATACTGGAACATACTGATA